ATCATTCACCCTGGATCTGGTAACTTCGTTCTACCCTCCTTATCTTTCCTCCATTGAGGACAATGTCATGCTTAAGTGTGGGGGGATGTTTGATTATGTATGTGGGTGAATGTTGGCTGTTTGTGTGCTTGGAGCCTAGTCCACTATCCAAATTTTTAAATTTGAGGGCTCCAAGTATGTGTTTCCTGCAAAATCCTGCTCAGTATGCTTTGAATTGACAGTCTTTATGGTGATATGCAACCTAGGGAGGTGGTGTAGCACTATGGAGGATGTTGAAGTATAAGACTTTTCCTATCTAGCTCTCTGCTGTGCCAGTTGATTTTGTGAACTAGTGGATTTAGGACCGTTGATTCATGTGGCACTGATGACTCTTCTTATGTTGTGTTGTGGACTCGTGTATCGAAAAAGGGTACTCAAGTGTGAAATGAAAAAGCAGTTTGGTCCTCCATGTCAAAAAATTTCAAATTCTAAGACATGGGGTAAGCCCAACGTGTGTGGCACCGTTCATTGCACAAAATCGGGTTTTGGAAGAGATTTTAGTGATCCTTTGTGGGGTAGGCCTACAAGGTGAAGCTAAGTTGTCTCTAGTACAAGTAAAATTTCCACCCATTGAACGGTTTGCCTACTTGAGGATGTGTTTTTAAGGGCACGGATAGAGCATCCGACCCCCCCCCCCTTAATTTCATTGACCCTCCACACGAAGTGAGGAATAGGAGTTAAAAGAAGTACTCAGGCGAGTGACAGATGTACAGAAATTGCTCTTGCTCACCCAATAAGGGCAGACCGCGTATACAAACTGTAGTTGGAACCTCAGCAAAGAAAAAAAAACAAAACAAGTAGTAAGAAGAAGGGGTTCCAACAAGTGAAATGAAATGAAAGAGCACCCGATACAATGATTCCTTGGTTGTGAATGGTGAGAGTCTCCTTATCCATGAATTGACTGTCTTAGTTCCAGTGCTTCTCATGATCCTGGTTTGAGTCTAGTACTCGCATTGAGAAAGATAGGAGGCGTCTTAGAAGACCAGTTGACCTCGTAAGTTGCTAAATGATCTAGAAAATCCACTGTCGACGATCGGGGTTGCATGTTGCTATAGATGTCTGGAGAGTTGCATTAGTTTGAGTCAGGTTTTCTTGGGGACAAGCAAACGGTTAAGTATGGGGGAGTTTGATAGACTGTTAATTACACATGTTTTTACCCCTATTATTGAGCCGTTTGAGATGTTGATTCTCGTGTTTTAGGCCGATTTCACGCTAGGTTGTTCTTGTTTGGATATTTCAGGTCCTAGTACGTGAATGAAGGTTTAGGAACGAGTTCGGGGTCCATTGGACGAAGTTTGGATGTTTGGTGAGAAGCTGGGAAGCCACACGGGCACCATTGCACCTCACACAGCCTTGTAGGGGCCCCTTGTGGCGTTGTGAAGGCTCGGTAAAAGCCACACGGCCGTGTGGCCTCTGCCCGTGCAGCTTGCTTGGTTGCTCACTAATCGAAACGACGCATTTGGACACTCACACGGGCAACTGGGAAAGTCACACGGGCGTGTGGCCTGGCCGTGTGAGTCAGGAATTTCTGGTTTTAAGCCAATTTCGAGCCAAAGGAGAGAGAGAGCTGGGTTTTTGGTTCCCAAACACCCAAGGGACGAACCCTAGAGAGAGAGAGCTACTTGGGAACATTCTTGGAGCTATTTTGGAGGATTTCTTCGCCATTGGAGCTCGGGAAGCAAGCTTGGAGATGGAGATTGAAGATCTAGATCAGATTTCTGCAGTCTCTCTCTTCTCTATGGAGTAACTTCCCTTCACTTAGGTTTTGAGGAACCCTAGTTCCATGTGTTAGGATCTTTCTTGTATGAAGTTTTGGATGCTATATTGTTTGGTTATAATCGATTGAGGCATGATTTATTGAGTCAATTGAATCTTGATCAAATTCTCTTGATTTCTGCTTTAACCTATGATAGATAGAATCTGATTAGGTTAAGAGAGCTTCCTTGATTGATAGTGGTGAATTGGTTGTGCGAGAGTCAATCAATTCACTGCTTTGTGCTGGAATTCATTCCAGTAGAGGAGATCTGTGTGAATCGCCTTAGCAGTCTATCCCGGTGAAGGCTAGTCGCCTGCCGGGTATTCTGTATGAGAGGGCTTGGTCAGCTTAAGAGATTCCAAGCTAATTTAGGATCTTCCACAGTTCAATCAACAGTAGATCAACCAAAGGTAATTGCAACTTGGACCTAATTGAGGAGCTAGGGGGAATCATACCTAAGTGAGTTCCCAACTTGTAATTAGTAGAGTAGTCAGTAAAGTAGTTTATAAATTAATCCTTAATCTAGCTTGCTAGATAATGAACAGAAGCTGAGTAATAGTAACTCTAGAGACCCGTGGATTCGATATTCATTACTTGTGCCACTATACTGCAGTCCCTTTCATTGGTTACACTTGGCCATTGTTAGGTGTTGTGTTTTAGCGTGCCATAGGCCATGTGCTTGTCTAGACCCGACATAACGTGACAAGGAGCTTAAAGCAAGCCATCACATGAACCGAAAATGCCGAAGCCACTTATTTAAGTAAGGTCTCCTTCCCCGCCCATGATAGATGTCGAAGTTTCCAGCCCTTCAGCCGGCTAAGCAAAGCCTCCTCCACGTACAGAAAGGTGTCGACTTGGATCTCGCAATCAGCGTCGGTAACCCTAGGTACTTATCCTGCACTCTAATGACTTCGACCCTTAATCTTGCCGCCATCGCTTGACTCTCCTCCATAGATATATTACGACTAAAACAAACTTCCAACTTCTGCAAATTCACCTTTTTCCCACATAGCTATTCATATTCTCTCAAAACCCCAAGGAGTGTAGAACACTCACTATGCGATCCTCGAAGAAACAAGTAAGAGTTGTCAGCAAAGAAATGGTGAGACACTCGAGGCGCTTTGGGATTCACCCTGACTCCCTGCAGCCGTTTAGCCACAATAGCCTGTCTAATGAGAGCCGCCAGACCCTCCGTACATAACACGAAAAGTAACGGCGACAACGGATCTCCCTGACGAAGCCCCTAGACGGATTAAATACCTATGAGGTTTACCATTCATCATGACCAAGAATGACAGAGTCGAAATACACTCCTCAATCCACCTGGCCCAAGTTTCACCTAAACCCAAATTTTTCAAGACCGCCAATAAGAAAGGCCATTCAACCTTTTCATAGGCCTTTTTCCAAATCAACCTTCAGGGCCATGTACCCTTTCTTACCTTTAGTCTTGATATTGAGGTATTGCATGATTTCGTGTCCAATAAGAATATTATTGACGATCTGCCACCCTTTAGTGAATGTGTTCTGCTCCGGAGACACAATCCGCGGTAACAGAACTGCCATTCGATTCACTATAATCTTCAAAATAATCTTATAGACAAACTGGCACAAACTAATCGGCCGTAATTGCCTCATATTCTCCAGCACATCCATTTTCGGGATCAAAGTTAATCACGTATGGTTAAAACTACGCAGGATTCGACCTTTGCGGAAGAATGCTTGTACCGCCGCAATCACTAAATCCCCTACAATCCCCCAAAAGGACTAGAAGAACTTCCCTGTAAAACCATCAGGCCCTGGAGCCTGAGTAGATCCCGTGGCAAAGACTGTACGTCTAATCTCTTCCGGCGTGACCACAACAGTAAGCTCCTGATTCATATCTTCCGTAACTAGTTTTTCCAGCGACAATTGCTCCACACGATGCTCCAGATTACTCCGATTAATTTCTGATGAGAAAAGATGGGAGTAGAATCCCTCCTCCACTGAAGCTTTATCCTCATATTCCATCTCCCACGTCCCATCTTCCCTCTGTAGCCGCTCCACAAAATTTTTCTTACGACGAGCCTACATCACCGCATGAAAATACGATGAGTTACAGTCCCCTTTCTTTAACCACCGTACCCTTGATTTATGAAGCCAAAATAACTCTTCCTCTGCTTATTTGCGCGTCAACTCGGACTCCAAAGAATTAATTCGGTCCCATTCTGTCGGCATTTCTTCTTTCAAAGCCTCAATCTCAGATTGGAGAATCCTAATCCCAGGGGCCGCATTAGATGTCCCCGCTTTGTTCCATTGGACCAAGCGATGCCTTAATTTCTTCAAACCGCATCAGAGTTGATACATGGCCTGCATATTTTGCGCCCAAACCATCGAACGAACCTCCGGATTCGATGCCAAACGAGCATCAAACCTGAAGATATAATTCTGATCTTTTGTAAATGGTCTATCCGCAATTATAATCGTACAGTGATAAGATTCAAATTCGTCCCATGCTCCATTATCATTTTCAGGAATCGCTACATCCATGTCTCAAAGCCGAGTGCTTGATCGAGCCGCTCCTGGATGGAAGCCATACCCATTCGGCGGTTAGACCATGTGTACGGGTTCCCATGAAATCCCAAGTCCTGAATGCTCAAGGTATCAATAAATCGACGAAATTTGATGGCTTTCGACGGGTTCCACGCATTACCGCCCAATTTTTCTTCCGAAAAAAGAATGACATTAAAGTTACCTACCACAATATAGGGATACGACAAACCAACACAATACTCCCTCAACACTTCCAATTGCGAAGCTCGAGTGGAAGCAACAAAACTCAAGTAAACAAACACGACACCATATTGAGTTTCATTATTCGGCACCAAAACAGAAATAAAGATATAAAAATTGGAAAGGACCGACAAAGGCACCCCTACTCTCCACCCCACTTCTAATCCTCCTGATGAATCAACGGCGTTAACAAGAAAAAAATCCGAAAAACCTAGTCCCCTAAGACGACTGTACGTCGCGATCTAGTTTCCGAAAGAAAAACAATGTCGGGATTATTCTCTCTCACAACCCCCAGTAAAGATTTGAACGTCAGAGAAGGCCCAATTCCTCAGACTTTCCACGCCAAAAGTCTCATTTGGCCGGCTGGGGCACTCTCGCTTGGCTTCCTCCACCATCTCTGCAGACATGTCACCACCACCACCTTCCTCGACCGTATGCAGACATCTTTTCTTCATTAATGCGGGATTCTCTCCCATGGACTCGAACATCTCCGCAGGTTTCAAACCCCATCGACTTAACCCCCATAGATGCCGCCTTGACCTGGACCTCCATCTCCATTTTGTTCTGCTCTTCCAGCTTTGAAACCAGTTCTTTAACCGTCAAACCCTTATGTTCATCACCTGCAGCTTGCTTCGAGCTCCCTCCCCTCTGCCTGCCTTTCTTTCCTTCCACAGACCCTGTGTCGAACAGATCACTAGCCTTCTCTCACTCTCCTTCTCCACGCTAGCACCAGCACCAGCCAAGCCCCTTGCTAATCAATCATCATGAACACCTCTCGTGGCACCAGACTCTTTACTCCGCACAACAGCCTTATTTCCGTGATCACGTTGTGCCTGCTTGCGATCATCAGTATTCCCAACAGACCCTAGCATCCGCTTCCCAGCTTCTTCCCCCGACTTCATCAATTCAACAGCAGAACCCTGTCGTCGTTGAGAAGATGCAACAAGAAGCGCCAGCACAATGCGCCTCGGCCCCGCCACATTCCCTCGCTCTTCTTCTACCATCTGCCTCTTATCCCCACCACGCTCCATTCTTTCCTCCATGAGTATCCGGGTTGATCCGCACCGAGTGAGGGATCCCCAAGCCATGAGTTGAAGCTAGTGTGGCCTCATTCAGATGATGCCCTGATTCATCTGTTGTCATCTCCGGCCCGAAGTGTTCTTCACCCATAGGAGCCGGATAACTACAATTGGCAGAAGTGTGCCCTAGTCTACCAAAATGGTAGCAGAATAGCGGAAATGTTCGTAGACTAAGGTTACCCAGAACTTTCCAGCAACCGGGTTTGAGGCATAAACCTGAGATCGCAGTGGTTCATTGACATTGATCATAAGTCGGACTTTGATGAAGTATCCTGGCATCCCCTTGATTTCAAAAAGGCCCGTCTCCATAGGCTCTCTTAGCTTGCCTTGAGCTATTCTCAACCTGAACGCAGTGGTTTGGCAATAAGAAGGAACCCCCCACATTTGCACCCAGAATGGTGCAAAGGAGAAGGATTCCACCACCGATCTCGAAATCGGCTCCCACGGTTGAAGCTGCAACACTCTTTCTTTCACCGGCCATGGAGTACGTTGGAGTACCCAGTCCATTGTCTTCTCATCTTCAAATAAGAATTGGAGTAGTCCCTGCTTTGCTTCCAGCACCGTGACCTAGCAGTTCCACATCCCCTTAACAATCTGCAGGATGGTATTAAGGCTCGGTGGATTCTCCATGAAGAGTTTCCCAAGAAAACTGAGTTTGGCACGCTCCATACTCTTCACTACTTCTTCCATTTCAAGATTGACCACCTAATCAATGTCCATGGGTGGAGCCTCTATCCTTCTCTTGCTTTCCTTCCCCTGGTACTGTCGTTCAAAGACAACAAGACACCAAAGAAAAGTCCAGAAGCAAATATAAGGAAGATACTAAACCATACATAATCGAAGAATTACCCTTTCCATAGTTAGGGTTTTACCTCCACTCGTAGGTGAATTCAGCTTTTCTCAATCTTGAATCTGAGTCTCACCAGATCTAGCGTATTGTGAGTTCTGGCAGAAGCGATTCGTAGTTGATAAATAGATCCACCACGGAGCCAAGCGAAGGACTTTGATCTCAATCGAAACTCGATGTGAGTGTATCTTCGGTAGATTGCGCATAATCTCCAAATTATTTCGTATATGGTGATATCGCCACAGATAATAACCACCATCGGATGATTCCAGTCCCCGAAAAATTTTCTCCGAGCACCAAATTAGGGTTTTACCCTCAGTCGGACTCTTATCCCTCATCGGCATACCATTCATTTTCAGATTCTCCAGTCGCCGAAACCACTCCCGTATGAAGTCGATTACACGGTGGGCATAGAGCCAAGCCGGCCATCCTAACTGAGCCGTACAAACCTTGTGTTCTGCCATAGAAACCCTAGCAGGGATTAGAGAGATCAATCTCTCGACGAGCTCGAGGAGAGAGAACATAGCATCCTAACACACATTTTTTTTAGATTACACTCTTTGGTTAACTCTATGTGTATTGGGTTTGTGTTTAATATAACATTTTAGATTTAGGTATTTTTCATGAATCTTGAATGTTTCTTGCCAGACGCGACCCTGGGCCTCTGCTAATAGGCCCTCTGGCACAGGGCCTAAAAAAGGTTGAGGCCTCAGCCCATTATCCTATAGTGTGTTAATAGGTTTAGTCTTGGATTTTTATAAAATCTAATATAAAAGCCTGTAGTGAATGAATAGGTTTAGTCTTGGGCTTTCATAAAAGCTAATATAAAATTGACATCGGCCACATCAGAGAAAAAATTTAGTATGATACATCAAGTGAACGAAAAGAGCAAAGAGTCCGGTCTCTTGGTATTTTTAGAGACAAAACACTAATTCACACATTTCTTTCATTTATTAATGCCATATGCCCATATTGGCGTTATCCACGTAATAGTGTTGATTATTCTCACAATCAACACTGTTCAGTCACACAACTTGATCTTGATTCACGCATATTGTTACTTATTCAAGTCGTTGTAAATTCAAATTTTAAACTTTGAAATATATCAAAATGGATATCATTGTGTAGATTATGATCAATGCAACATATTTTTAGAGATTAAATAAGAATTCTAATTTAATTTCATAAAATATAACCGATACAAATTATTGGAGGAAAAAAGTTTAAAATTTCATTTACGTGAATATTTTATACTCTTACGTGAATACCCATATTATTGCCCGAATAACCACCAAACGACGTGAATGAACATGAAAATGCATGAATTGGGTGTCTTTAGGCATTTTGTCTCCTTTAGAGATACGAGAACTTTTCCAAAAGAAAATAACATAATATTTATATAATTTTTTACAATAAAAATTTATATATAGATATATTGCCAAAAATATAAAATAGAATTTACAAACAACTTAATTTAATTGACCATTCGCACACAAAATCCGATTAATCACACCATCTAGGACTTGGAATTACCTTGCGCGACAGTGCGCGCAATATGATTGCTAGTTTTTTCAATAAAACATGGACTATGTTTGGCACTGCTTTTAGAAATGCTTTTCGGCTTCAAAGCTGAAGCAGGGCCAAACACATCTAAAAGTTCGGCTTTTGAAAAGCCAAAAAGCGTTTTTGTATAACATAAAAGCAGAAGCTCCGATTTGGAGCTTCTGCGAAAAGCAGTTTTGAAAATACAAGATTATCCTTACCATATTTTAATTTTATTTCAGAAAATATAATTTTCCTTTATTTATATCATCTTAAACATAAATTATAAAATCATATTATTTAATATAAAAGAAATCTAACAAGATCCATTTTGAATACTTTTTATTGTTTAGAATTTTTATTTATATTTTATATTATAAGTCCTTTATAGTCATTTTACACAACCGCTCATATTAAAAAGCACTTCTAATAGTTTTACAACCAAACACTAAACTGATTTTTTTGAAAAGTACTTATCTAAAAGCTCCAGCCAGAAGCTGTTTCTGCAAAAACTACAACAGGGCCAAACTAAGCTATAGTTTCTAAAATTTCTCATACGATACCATAAATTTTGCAAATCACTTGATTTACTAAGATATTGGAAATAATCCACAATACGTTACCCCACTAAACTTCTCGTTTAACATAATTAGTCTGAAACGGAGTGACTTGAGCAAATAACAAATGTGTAAAACTACTCGTTTAACATAAAAAAGAACAACGTATCATAACAAATGTGTGAACTACGTTGAAAAATTAATTATTTTTATGTAGAAAAAATGTTGGCCAATCTGACATCTTAAGCAGAAATCAAGCGAGATGATTAGTGATCGATGTTCCTATCATTTATGATGTTCAAATAAAACATTTTATAATCATACAACCGACAACAGTTTAATAACGATTTCAAATAAGTCAGATAATATAAATGTTCTTTCTACACGACAAATGGTAAGATATTAATACAAAACGATGTCAAACATGTTCCAAGACTATAAGTTCTTTCTTGTTATGAAAACATGTTAACAATAAAATTTGGCGTCTCGATCTCATTCTTAAAGATTGAGACCAGACGATGTCAATTGATGATGTGAAGGAAAATTACTGCGCCACCATCATCGTAGACCAATAGTCGTGTTATGTATGCCCGCAAAAGAAAACCTCTTTAAAAATTAATAGTTTCTTTTAAATTTTCTTTTTTAAAAAATGTATCTTCTGATTCGTTGCATGTGTTTCTGGCAATTTAGGGAAACATAGAAACATGATTCTCTCATTCAAGTTCTGGACATAAAAGTAATTATCACATTATGGTTGTTGACATAAAAGCACTATGACCTTTTTCTTCAACCTTTTTAATCCAACATTACTTCTCCATCCTTCTTCACTCCAAACAAATTCAGAGACTAGCGGCTCTTCCAAACCAAAACCTTAGTTCAAGAGATAGGTGGAATGACAAGCTGGGGGATGTACTACCCAAGTGGTTTTTTACTTCAAAACCAGTCACCCAAGTACCACCATCGCTACTAGTGGAGGAAAAGGACATATAACCGATGACCTTTTGAAAAAGTACTTCACTGATAATCCTGTTGAAGAACTTAATTATCTGATATAATCTAATTCTTGCATATGAACTCTATGTCTTAGATCTAGTAGTAGTGTTTGCGCCCTTTTGTTATTTGCAATGTTGTGAAAGTCGAACCGGAGCATGAGCCGGTGTAATTAGCGGTTCATAATTTATTGGTCTAAACGGTATTAAATTTCTAAAAGACCGTTAACAAACCGGTACGTTAGTAAAAAGAATATCAAAAGTATGAATCTAAATTTACATGAGTGTTAAACAATAATTGAAAACATTGGATGATTGTTCTGTAATTTAATTTTGAGTAGTATATAGTAATCTAACTTTAACATATATATTTAATAATTACATAAACCTAAACATATTAAACACCCACATGTCACCAATGTAGTCAAAATCTCGATTTTAATATTAAAATCATATGATTTTGAGATTTTACCTATGGTTTCCGATACTGATTTTACTACAAAATCTTTGAACCTTAAAATCCCATAAAATCTTGATTTAAATCTTTAAAATCCTTAAAATCAAGTTTTTTACGATTTTGTATGATTTCAAGGTTCGCGTCAATTGGAGCAAAATCAAGTCAGCCAAGTTGGTGTTTTCCAACGCACCGGGTCAAGTTCACTTCCCCTTTCCAACACATGGACAAAACAACCCTAACCTGACTGACATGCAACCCTCTATTGATTTTTGTTCTCTTTTACTTTTATCCGCCGACACCCAACTCATTCTATTAACGATTTCCTCCATCACCCTCTCAAATAGCTCGTTGTTTGTTCTCCCATCACCGTCACAATTAGCCCAATCTCCATCACCTTGCAAGTTTGTTTTCGTTTCCCAAACCTTTAGTGCCACCATCCTCGACCTACATCTGATCAAGAAGGGAATTCATTAATAAATAAGTTGTCTTTGCGGGATGATAGCAATCAAGGAAATATGGTCGGTGTTGAAATAGTTCAAGTGATCCTCGGAACAATGATATCATTGCTCAACAAAATGACAAAGATTATATGAGGATGAAGGTGAGGGTGAGGTTGATGATGACCATGCTGAGGATTTAGATGTTAATCTTGATCCAAACGATTTTATCTGATTTTCTACTCTTAAACTCTTAATTAGATTAAGTAATTTATATGTCGTTTCAGGTTGCATATATTTTTTTTGTTTATTGTGTGTACAAGAACAAATCCATGGTTTTATTTTTGTTTATTAAGGAGAAAAACTTATCTTGAGAATCATTGAAGTGATATGTTGTGGGTATTATTTGGGATATTTACTATTATTACTTTCTGACATTTAAGTTATAATTTTAATATGAACCTAAAAATTTTACGAGTTTAATCTACGATTTCGATTTTACCTAAAATTTTTATTTTATGTAAAATCTCGATTTTGACTGCATTGCAAGCCACCTCCAATCTTCGCTTCCCCGCCGCTCTCCTCTCATTCTCTCTCTAAACAATCCCCCAACTCTTTTGTGGGAAAGTCACTCGGGTGTCTCTTCCCCCTAACCGCTACCATGCTATGTGGATTGGA